TAGGAAGAGGTTCGTGACAGGAGACTCAGACTGTGGGTCGCTTTCGTGTGCAGACCACGTGATCTTGCAGCCTCCCTCCCTCCGCCTTAGAGGCGTCGTACCGGCTTCTTGTGCAAATTGCGGTGCCGTGCCGGTCCGTGGAACGGGCAAGCACGCCGAGCTTCGTCTAAATATAACCCTAAGTCCGTGAAATGCGCCAGAAATGTCTCACTCCAGCCAGATTTAATCACATATATACGAGCTCACACTCACACTACTTATTACTGTACGTGCGCGGCTTGCGTGCGTTGTGGCTGCGGGTCGCGATTCCGATGAGTCATCAGAGTCAAGGATTGTGACGCGGTGACAGCGACGCAGGCCCACACAAAAAGCCTTGGCTTGATTCAAAGCGAGCATCAGCAGACGCGGAACCCCTGTCCTACATTAGCGCCCAGTCCGTGGGAAGCGGACCCAGACTATCGGAGTTCTCACCATCATGTAGCAGTTTGCATACACATCCGTACAGGCATGTGCGGTCTATGGATGCGCAAGACGATTTGAATGAAGCTATACCAGAATTGTGCCGGTACCGGTATGCAGGCTGATGAGTCCGAGTGTTGTTTGCATCAAACCTCCCGCGACTCTGCTTAGCCTCGGCCGGCTACTGGGTCCGTCAATTCTACTCCCAACTTATCGCATGTGGACATAGGATAGGCGCGGGGGATCTGTATAGAGCCGCTGCGACTTGCGAGGCAGTCGTGGGCTGCGATTTTGAGCATCGTGAGTAGTACGTTCGAGAGCTAGCTTCATCAGCTGTACTCACGACTTCGAGTCTTGAAACGCCAAGCACGTCGATGCTGGTTCTGAAGTCGCTGGACTTTGTACGTCACCAGGTACTGCCATCCTACTCGACTGATTGATGATTATTGTTGTGCGCATCAGTCATGAACCCCGCTCTACGTAGCCTCTGATGGCCGCAGAGAACACGCTGAGACTCGGCTCTTGGCTTGTTCGGTTGCTGTTGGTGAGGCCGGAGTCGCCTTTAGCACCGAGCGAGTGAGACACCCTCCATGCGACTCTGCGTGCGTAGCTGCCCACAGGCTGCTGTGCCATTCGTAATTCAGCATGCGACAATCGTGAATGTCCAGAGCCCATGCAAACAGACATGGCCTGGTGCCCATAGAAGTCGCTGATTCAATTGAGGAGAATCGACCAATTTTCGTGCCTCGACTTACCAGGAAACTGTACGCACTCACGAGACACGATGGATCACTTACGTATACAGTATCAGCTTGCGCAATCTTGCTTGAAGGCTTCGGAGCCGTCTCGGAGTAACTTGTGAGGAGGCCTCAGCCTTGCTTTTTGTCACATCACATATATCGTGATCAGGTGCTTCTAATTACGTAGCATGGCTAGATGATCATCCGGCTGAGCGGCAATCTCGGTTGCAAACCTCTGTCACCCGCACGGCTGCTCTGCCGTCAGTCATACTGACAAAACGGATTTCTGTTGCGCTTGGAGCGATGCCAGAGATTCTGCCTGCCTTGATGTTCCGATCAAAACGCGCGGTTGAGTGCGCAGACTTGATACGTCTCAGAGCGCGATTCCAAACGGGCTCGTCATTGTCTTGCAACATGCGGACGGCAAGACATAGTGTTGGCTCGTGACCGTGGGGTGTCCTCGTTGTGAGTATTTCTAGTCACAAGTCAAGGATGTCAGTCGACAGCATCCACATGGGGGCCGACCAGGTTCTACGCGCTAACCTCGAAGACGTCAAAGCGGCGCCTACAAGAGAGACGGTAGGGTCATCGCATGACACGTCCACTTGTGAACCATAATTCAAGGCTGACCTCCAGATAAAATGCAAATGTGGAGTCTAGAGCCACAAGTCCGGATGTGCGCTAAGCGGTGACGAGGGAGAACAAAGCCGTGATTCACTGATTGTTACACGCTGATGGGTCGCCATCAGACGTTTAAGACTCCGATCGACCTTCTCACGCCTAGACTTCCGCATCATAAGGAGTCACCAGTCGTGAGTCTGGGTGCGGGTGCTGCATGCATGCGCGCTTCTGGCTGCAGTATGAATTCTGAAAGGCAGATCACATCTGATGAGTGGAAGTGCTGCAAGCACCTGCACCCGCACATAGCATGGCATGAGGAAGAGGGGAAGCCAGCGGATTGCTCGCGGAGCACTCAGGAGCTTCGACTTTGATACGTCACAATCACAATCACAATCTTGAATACAAATCCACAAGTCAAAAATTCGCTAATGGGCACTTTCGAAGTGGACGTGAGCTTTCAGCAGGTCAGGCTTGGCAGGGCAACCTGCTACAAAAGCTTCAAAAAGCTACCGAAGGGCAGGGACGCAGGTGCACTCACAACATTCTTGATTGCGGTCTGAGCACCAGCAAGTGGGCGGGCTAACGTTGCCTGCGATCCGAGCATTGCGACCGGGACGAGGTCTGCGGCTTGCCTGCGTGCCTGCTTGCCTGCTTGCCTGCCTCACCTCAGGAGATCGCTTCGTCCACCTGGAAGCTGCCGCTGCCGCTGCCGCTGCC